TGAGACTATCTGGGAAACACATTTCTCTAGGACCTGAAAGCCCATAGTAGGCTTGAGGAATGACTGTGGGTGAGACTACACCATGGACTGCTTAGATTAATTATGTCATGGAAGTGATGACATTGGTCTTATAGCACTGAAGTGCCTGGACTTCTTGTCTTTCCTGAGTGGCACAGACATTATGTCACTCTGCTTAGTGGACACAGCTTTCCAACAGCGGTCCCGCCAGTGCCAAACACCGAGAGAATATAACCCCTTTACTCCCACGTGAGAGTCCTGTTTACACATCTCTGGCATGCCAGGGTACAATCCAGGCTAATGAGCAGCTCTGTCACCTCCTGGCCCTGAAGCCTTGAGTGCCTTACAAAGTCTCACTGAAATAACTCCCACCTGGGCCACTCACAAACAGCCTAAGAGCGTGCAACTCACACCCTGAGTGTCTGTGTGTAACTGCAGCCAGCCAGCCACACCTGGGTTACACTCTGGCTCTCACCAGCCGGGTTATACAGCAGGGTGACCCCAGCACACACCCAGTCTTAGATTTTCTCCCAGAAATGTATGTCCTGTACTGCCCAGCTCTCTCCTGGACACTACAAATCATATTAAGTCCATCATTCCTGTAAGATTATTCCTGTGCCCACAAATTACCACCCCAAATCAGAGTTACCCAGACACTTCCATTCAAACACACTAGACTAGATAAAAGAATAAAACAAGTTTATTAACTACAAAGAAAGAGATTTGAAGTGAATCCAACTCATGAGGAATAAAAGTCAGAAACGCTTACAAAGAAAATAAAGATGAAACATTTACTGGTGCCTAACTTAAATTATATCCTATTCAAGCAAAGTTTCTCACCACCTGCTTTCAGCTGCCTTCCAGATCAAACTGTGTACCTCAGGCCCTCTTCCTCGGCATCCAGTGAATACTTCCTGTCTCTCTTCAGGTGCAGTGAATGCCATGGGCAGGGAAGGAGGGGTTGTTCCTCCTTTTTATAGTTTCAGTCTCACTCTTGAAAAACATTTCCAGCTGGGCACTAGGACACACAGAGTTTATGTGGAAGGACGTTCACAGCTGGCTTTTCCTCACACGATTGAGCTTCCTTTGTTTCCCTCCCTGATCGATGACGGTTTTCAGATTAAATGCAAATTCAGGGAGGCACATTCCTTTCTCGAGACCACACCTGGTTGCCAAGTTCTGCGTGCGCAAGGCTGTGGGGTTGGGAACACAGGTCAGTATCATCATACAGGGAAATCTTATAAAACTTTACATGCAATGTTGAGACACATAGCTTATCAGGACAATACTGATCAACAACTTGTGAGTTTTCGAATTATACCTCACAAGACATACTTTGTACAAAGATTATTACAATAGTACGTAGGGTGTGAATACAGGAACGTATTTGGTCCCAGCCTCATTACCACATGTGGCAGGGAGTTCCTCAGGCTAAACCTGCAGAACAGAGGCTTTTATTTTTTTTCCTTTTCGATCAGATTTAAAAGTGATTTCATTCCCTTGTGTGGTGTGGAAGGTAGGACAGCACAGCCCCTGTCACTCCCACAAACACACACCCACAGTATTGTGAGACAGTTTGAAGTGACCTGAGACTTCAGACCAGGCAGGCGAATGACTCTGAGAGCTTGGTTTTATTGGAAGTAACCCAGTAGCACCTCAAGGCCCCAACTGAGACCAGGGCCCCCATTGTGCCGGGCGCTGCACAGACCCTGGCCGAGAGCGAGCCCCTGCTGTGCCGAGCGTGGGTCAGACACCGGCCGAGAACAGGCCTCCTGCTCTAACCCACTAGACCCCACTCCCTTCCACAGCTCCTGGGATAGAGTCCAGGAGTCCTGGCTCCCAGCCCTGCCACAGACGCTCTGGTTGGAAGGTTTCAAGTTCAGGAAGGGACATCAGGATATGGATCCGGAGCATCCCACATAAAGTTGCCACCTGGATGATTTTTAACTGGCCTGGCACTTTTTGTCCCGCCTTGCCTGTTGCCAGTGAAAAGATTTAATGTCTGGGGGTCTGATGTCCCTCTGCCAGACGTGAGTGTGGACAGCCACACATGCAGTGAATTTGTATCTACCACGCAGGACACGTGGCCAGGTGTGCAGCTGGCCCTGCTCAGCCTGTTGAACCACGGCAATTTCTCTCAGTGCCAGGACGTGAGCTGGACTCACAGCTCACCAACAGGGAGGGGCAGGAGCAGGAGCAGGGTGGGAGAGGCAGAGTCTCCTGGGAGGGGACGATGGGGGGAAGGCTCCCTCCTGGGCTGAATCTCCTGGGAGGCGCCGGGTGTGGGGGCTCATGATGGGCAAGGCAAGGGCTCCCTGTGCAAGAAAGAACGGCTGTGGTCACAGCTGTGGGGAAAGGGGCCAGAACCTCACCCCTGTTCACCACTGAACATCTCTTCTATTCACCCAACGGGAATGTCATTTATCCTTTATGTATTTGTTAGTTTCTCACCAGGGCAGGAGAATGCAGCTCTGAGTATCTGTCATTCTCTAACAGAACACAGTAATACCTATATAGAGGTTTGGGCAGGGCTGGCTCTAGGTTTTTTGCTGCCCCAAGCAAAAAAATTTTTAGCTGCCCCCCCACCCTCAGCCTCTCTCCCCCTTTCCTCCAACTGCACCCTCCTGCCGCCCCAGCCCTGGATCACCGGTAAGTCGCTCCCAGGGCGGGTCATTCAGCAGGAATTTGGGATGTGCACAGAACACA